TATTTAGGGACACATTTCATTTGTTCAAGTGAGAAGTTAAAGGACCCCCAGCATTTACTGAATAAAACTTCAAAGAAAACTTCTAGGTTTTTGAGGGTTTCAACCGCATCTTGCTTATTGAATGCCTGCATTCTGAACTCCTGTTCTATCCAACTTGCATCATTACACATACATCCAACATTTGAGAACCAAGTTACTGCCATGCTTGATACAGCTGTACTTGGGAAGCAACTGAGAATCACTGAAAGCCCACCAGAAGGTAAACGATCAGTTCTTTCAGAACCACAGCACTCTCAGAAGGCTGAGCTGAAGGCAGTTTTCTCCAATTTAGAAGTTTTCAGACCATGTTTCATAAAGAACTTCTAAAAGTCCACAAAAGGCATATCAAGAAAGGAAACTTACTATTAGCTGACTTAGGTTCAGGGTACAAATGTTCCTCATTACCAATAGCAAATAATTTAAGCAGTTACAAATAAGAAGAGGTGGAAAACCACTGATCTAGTTCATTTCTCTGAACTTGGAACCTTGAGTAAAAGAAGAGAAAGTGTCACTGTGACTTTGCAGAAGAGTTGCAGGTAAATAACCTCTCTTCTAGTAATAGCCTCTTAAATCAGTTTGTGGCGGTTTAAGTAAAATTCCTCAAGCCACTTACTTAGGCATTACATGTTGAGCTAAGGCTACTGAGGTATCCTCCCAAAACAGGCATTAGCACTGAATGCTAAAGTTGTGAAATAATTACCGCTCTGTGAATTTGAGTGACTCCTTGCAGCTCTACAGATTTATAAACAGGAAGCATGAAACTATGCATTCATACCTGCTTTAATCACATGCCAGAGCCCTAAAGCCATCAGATACTGGTTGACGTAACAAGTCTCCCTGAATAATCTAGACCATCTCAATGGTGGATTCCATGAATTATGACAGCAAAAAACAAAACAAAAATGAAACAAAACAAAGAGAGATCTAAGCATTTTTATCATGTCATTCAAATCCCCTTACCTGTCAGGGCACAGCTTTACATCCCTAGAAAATAAGGTGTCCTGAGGAATAGCAGGAGAATGTTCATCTACTCAGGCTATCCAAGTACTGCCTTTTAGAGATGAAAGAAAAGGATGTAGAACAATTGCTTCCATGGAATATAAGAAAAGACAATAAACAACTAAAATGCATCCCTATTCATTCTCTCTAAATAAATGCATCTAGGATTTAAATAGTTTCATAGCCAGGAATTATAAAAAGCAGTCTCCTGTAAGGGCTCTAGGCTGAGTCCATGGACTTTATCATGATGCTGACATTAGGACAACCTCAAATAGATGATTACATGTTTGCACAAGTCTTCCATCATCCTTTTGTCAGAAGATTGATTAGATCTGAGGATGTTAACATTCAGATACCAGCTACATGTGCATTGATTTAAATAAAACAAATGTAGTCATTTTTCTAATTACATTGAGACACAAAAGGTCATTATCAAGATTTATCCTCTGCCCATCATAAAACATTAGCCATTACCGGGAAGAGTTTTAAGTAATATTTCTGTGTTAAGAGCAGGCTTTCATTGTTTTGAAGGGCTTGGCGTTGTCCTAAAGTTGATAGAATCTTTGAGATACACAAACTGCAGAAAACTGACTTCTAAAAATACTACTTCGTGACCTGTTCAGAGGTAAATCCTGTGAAACTCACGCTTCTGTAAGCTCTGCCTCTGTATTAGCAGGTGTTTTAATCACACACATGTTTTCCAAAGACAGCATAATATTTGCTCTTTCTTATTTGGAAATCACTGTGCACAAACCCAACACAATAAAACAGACCTATCAACGGCCACTCGTTTCTCTGAGCAATATGCTTGTTGACCTCACCGATGTCATTGCAGCATCCCCTTCTTCCATCCCAGCATACACACAAGAGTAATTTCCTTTGCTTTTAGCAGATTTGCTATGGAAAACCCAGCCTTCCTCTCCAGCACAAGTTTTACTGATCCATGATTATTTGCCAACGTTTCTTTTGTTAAAGCGGTTACCTGAGTAAATATGCAGCATACATAAGCCGAATACAGCACGAGTTTGCGTGATCTGCTTTCTTGACAAAGTATTCACGGAAACATTGACTTCTGTAATCTCATAATTTTCAAGTACCTTTATAAATTTACAATCTGGATCTGATTATGCTCAAAAAGTTACTTAAATAGCATATATTAACAGTCTTTGGAAAATAAATTATTTTGGGATCCAAAAATAAATTGGCCATCAATTAATGCCACGTACCCACCTCTTTTCTGGGGAACCTTTATTAAAGTATTTTATATACAACACAACATACCGCAGGAGCTGATGCATTTCAGCTGATATTATTGTAATAGAAAGCTCTTCCCTTTATGAAGCTACATGGACCCAAAGACAACCCTTTAAGGAATCAGGTGTTGAGGCTGCTGGCAGAACAAGCAGAAGATAAGGCAGATTTTAGACAGATACCTCCTCAGCATAAGACAAGACCTAACATCGGGCAGTTCTCAAAAAGAGAGAACAGTCAGGCAGCCTAACAAAGAGAACAGTTGTAGAAGAGTACATTGGAAAAGGCACCAAAACCAAAAAGGAATAGCGATTGAGCTGGGGAAGCCTTCCTGACTTGCAGCACTGTCCGAAGAAAAAAAGGCTGCTGGACCTCAGAGCTAAGAAGAAAAAAAGGCAACAAACCCAAGAGCCATATTAACAGTTTTTACCATCAGAAACTTCCATTGAGAAAATAACCAATAACCTTATGCACAGTTTGGAATAAAGCACTTATTTTTACTTCTTCAATAATGAACCGTACATGGACTTTACCTCCTTAAAAAAGGACTATCAATCTCAGAGCGAGCTCTACAGGGCCAGGGAGAGCTACACACAGTGATCACTGCAAGATCAAAACCTATACCTTCTTCACAACAACAGGCAGAGCAGTGCCTCTGTCTGTTGAAAATAAAGACAGATTACCATAATTCAGCAGTATTCATAACATGAGATGGCTTGAAAGTATCCCCTGCTTTGACTCCCAAGCAACACAACCAGATGCAGATTTACAGGCCAGGAGGGAAAAAGGAGACTAACAGGACTGCGTGTAACCTATGATGGTGAACACAAAACAATTTCACCATGCACATCCACACGGGCACCTCATCCACAGTGCAGTCAGCTCTGGCTGTTTGTGTCCAGAAGCGGAAAAAATCACAGCCCTGTCTCATGCTCCAAGGTGTTTAAAAAAACCACCACCATTAACACTAAACTGCCTTCATATTTTCATCTCCTTGAACAGAAGTTACATTTTAGCTACAGTTATTTATATTGTCAGCCTTTAACCACAAAAACTCTCCTCACCTTCACTTCTCTTGGTTACTCCCAAAATGAGATTAAAAATAAATAAAATTGCTGCCATTCACAACTCAAATCAGCCTTATTTTGTAAAGTTTACAGAGGCATGCATTTTTGTAGTTATAGCAGCATGCATTGTATTTTTCCAGATATTCTGAATAACTGAAATGAAAATTAGTGTCTCAAAAATATGATCAGAGCATTCTGAATGATTACTACTTCTGGAAATACAGTTAACCACTGTTGATTACCTAGGAAGAATTCACAGTTGAAGAATTTGTATAACGTTACTTAATATAAAACTTTCCCACCTTTTAATAACCAGGACAAAACGTTAAGAAGGTTCACCTAGTTATACATAAATATATTTAACTTTTTTAAAAAATATATAAACATATAAATATACGTTTAGCCGTTACCACTGTTTGCCATTTGTGTTCACAAAAACACCACAAGCACTAGCAGTTTCGTGCAAGTGAGAACGACCCTAACAATAACGTTTTGATAACTAGCCTGTTTTATACATACAATAATTCACCAGCTAAGTAAACAACATCGTTATTTACCAAAACATGAATTTATATTAGAGTCTAAAGGAACCTTTCTGTTCTCCTACAAAAAAACAGTATTAAAGGCCTCATACAGATAGAATAACAATGAAGAAAAATATTACAGCTACTATGCAGAAAATACTTTTAAGTAATATTTATTTAAAAAAAATATATTAAGTAAACTTTTCATTATGAAACTTCCAGATCAGCTCCCTAGATTTTGAAGCAGTGCATGACTATAAATCTAACTTCAAAATTCAAAACATTCATATTTTCTTATTTATGAACTTTGGAACACACAAGTAAATCAAACGAATGTATTTTTCCCTAAAGAACTTATTTCAAACACTTCCTGTTACATTCAACTTCACACCACCACCAGACTACCTTTATCACTCGAATTCTTCTTAAGATACATACATTCACATTTTTAAAGACTTCATATACTCTCACTAGAAGTGAAATCTTTCAAGACAACATTGAAAACGACTTTGAGTCATATATTTTTTTCTTTTGACAGTATTTAGAATGTGTTACTCCATTTCCTATTTGGCATTGCATGCCTAAGTGCCTCCACCATATGAAAAAAAAAAAAGGAAAAATAATTAATAAACATACCATTTCACGTTTATCTCCATTTCCCCTTCAATTAGCACTCAATATTTCCTCCCAATTTTCCTCCATCAATTATCACCTCTCAGATACAAGCAAAAAAAAAAAAAAACTGGGCAGCCATGTACTGGTCTGAGCTGAATGAATTTCATCAGTGTTGTAAATATCAAACAGGTGAACTGCTTGAACTACATCCCAACAATGCACAGCAGACCAATAATTATAAAAGAAAAAATTACCCTCCCTGCAAACCATTTACTACTGAATAATTATCGTCCCTCTTTGTCCTTGGACTTGGCTATCAGTTCTAGAGCAAGGTAGGTGACAGGGTGCAGCTTGCCGTCGCCTTGGAACCCTGCAGCTGCGAGTATTTATCATTTAATACGTGTATGTTTTCCTTCTCTATTCCCTCTTAAAAACTCTCCCAGAGGAAACCTAGAAGCAGACTAAAACAACAACATATGTAATAAGCCACGCAAGCTGCATCTACCTTTCAACCCAGAGATGCGGGTCCTGCGCTCCCTATCACGGCCAGCGGCAAGTCAACATGAGGAGCTAATATGTGCCTGAAAGCGGTGAACCGACAGGCAGCGCTGCCAAAGGAGAAGCCAGGCACGTCCTCTCACAC